GTGAATGTACATTATACTTTCACAAATAATATTTGAGGCATCACTGGCATGAAATAGTTTCAGTGCTCCAATGCTTGGTGTTTAGAAGGCTGTTGTTCCAGGGACATTGCTGATTCTGCTCTTTGGACCTGATGAACAACAAAAGTAGACAAACCAGTATAAATGAAGGCTTGGCTAGTGAATGGACAACTAAAAGGTAAACACAGATAAGAGAAGAGGAGCTTGACATGTACAGGAAAAACAAAAGTTTTCTCTGCAAATTGAAGGGTTTTTCTGTTAACTTTTACTGTGCTTTCCCCACGCACCTTTAAGGTGGCCCTTCAGTAAAAGTGGGCTTCATTGTCCTGGCCAGGTGGCTCAGTTGGTTGTACTGTCTTCCATACACCAAAAGGTTGCAGGTTTGATTCCCGATTGGGGCAAGTCTGAGAAACAACCAATTGATGTTTATCCCTCACATCGATGTTTCTCTCTCACTTTCTCTCTCTCTCTCTTCTCTCTCTCTCTCTCTCTCTCAAAGTCAATAAAAACCTATCCTTGAGTGAGGATTTTTAAAAAGTGGGCTCTATTCATATAATTTCTTCTGGGATTAATCATTTCTTTAGAGCCATTATTAGGAACCTGGAAGTTTTTGTTTGGTTCCTTCCAACAGCGATCAAATGGCTCAGAAAAGCTGTAACTATTGGCTACTGATGGCTCGTAGCTTCAGAGAATTGTCATCAGCCAATGAGACCCTTTCTGCTCAGTCCCTGAGTCATCCTTTATTGATCTCTTATCTCATCTCCACATGCTATTCTGCCTCCAAAAGATATTTCACCTCTCTGTTCTGCCCCTCTCTACTGCTATCACCTTTCTCCTAGTCACCATACCTGCTATAGTAACCACCTAACTGGCTTCCACTTTTAATCCATTTTCTCTACAGTTATTAAAATTATCTTTTAAAAAAATACACAAGTGATATCAATATTTGATCTCCCAACTTGATTTTGAGTAAAATCCAGACTCTTTAGCATTTCTTGTTTCCTATTGCTTTAACCCAGTGGTTGGCAAACTGTGGCTTTCGAGCCACATGCGGCTCTTTGGGCCCTTGAGTGTGGCTCTTCCACAAAATACTGACTTCTGAGCATGGGCCACGAAGTTTCAATCGCACTGTACGTGCGCGCCCACACGTGGTATTTTATGGAAGAGCCACACTCAAGGGGCCAAAGAGCCACATGTGGCTCGCGAGCCTTAGTTTGCCGACCACTGCTTTAACCTCATCTTCTATGACTCTTGCCCTCCTCTCACCTTCACTCCAGCTACATAGACCTTCAATTGGTCCCTGGAATATTTATTTTTATTTTTTAATATATTTTTATTGATTTCAGAGAGAAAGGGAGAGGGAGAGATAGAAACATTAATGATGAGAGAGAATCATTGATCGGCTTCCTCCTGCATGTCCTTCACTGGAGATTGAGCCCACAACCCGGGTATGTGCCCTGACCAGGAATTGAACCTTGACCTCCTGTGAAGGAGAAACATCAATTGGTTGTTTCTCATACTTACCCCAGCCAGGGATCAAACCCGCAACCTTTTGGTATACGGAAGACACTCCAACTAACTGAGCATAGGTTGATGCTCAACCACTGAGCCACGCCAGCTGGGCCAATCCCTGGAATATTTAGACCTCTTTGCTGTTTGCACTTGTAGTCTTTTCTCAAATCTTCACATGTCTAGTTCTTTCTCATCTAAACATTTTAGCCCAAATGTCAGCTATTGGAGAAGCCTTCTCTGACCATTCCTCATTCCCATCACCCTTCAGCATATCATTTTCTTTTTGTTAGTTTTTGCAATGTATTATTATTATTGTTTATTTGTTTACTTTATTGCCTATCTTCTCCATTAGAATATATGTTTCATCATGAGGCCTGGGATAATATTTTATATTCACTCTTAAATCCCAATGCATACCTCATATGTGAGGAATTCACGGGACAAAGAAACTTCAGCTTGGGTGCTTAACTAGTGAAGTATCTAAGCGGAGTTTGAGCTTAGAGTGGTAAGTTAGTAAAGAAGTAGCAAGGTTTGTTCACATAGGTTCTGGGCCCTTAATTCCCTATCTCTGGTGATAGAAAGTCTCTGTACCTTCTGGTACAGGTAGGGCACCTTTCACGTGGGAGATTTATTTCCTGCTTTCAGAGGACAGAGAGAAGGGTCAGAGCGTTCTTGCACTGACTCTTTCTCAAGGAACTTTAATTAAAAATAATCAGTGTGCCACTTTGGCATATTTGGGTGTGGCCTGCCTTTAACCCCAACATCTTGCTGTTCTCATTCAAATTTTAATACAATCATTGCAAAGAATAGTGCAGTTTGTAGTGCCAACAAATTAAGTGAGAACTACATTGAGAGATTTTATGAGTGTAACAAATATGTATCATTAGTTCATAAATTCACTTTTGTTTTATTCGTATAAATTTTAGTCAAAGTCATGTTGAAAGGAACTTACAGTCTGCAATAGAAATTGCTATAAATTTTGAGATGATGCTAGTTCATCCTGAACCTAATGAATTCTATTAAAATGGGAGACAATAATACTTCTGTAGTTATCAAGACTAACTGTAAGAGATTAAACTTGATGGCCAGGAAAGGGAGCAGTCATTGTACAGGTTGCCTGCAGGTAAACTGTCTTGTGCTCAACTTAATTCACTAGCTAAAGCAATTATTTTTCTACGATATTTTCCTCTTAGAGTGTTCCTGCAAATGACTCAAGTCAACAACCCCCCCAAAAAAAAACGATGTAAAAGGTTTTATTATCAATAAAGTGCTGTAACTGTGAAGGTAACTGAATGATATGTGTAGCAAACCAACCACCAAAGAGAAAGAGATAAAGTGTTTTATTTTTTATGTAATCTGAGGCATCCTTATAATAGTACTTTGAGTTCCTGAGTTGAGGAAAATCTAAAAGTGTAGAGTAACTTTACCTCCTGGTGTGAACTGGAAGTGTCTCTAACCTCATGATTCCTGTGCATCACAGCAGAGAATAACAGGGGAAGGTTTCCCCCCTGTCCTTGCTCAGAGAGTTCTCCTCCTGGTTGTTTTCAGTCCTGTAGAGTAACTTTGCCTGCTGGTGTGGACTGGAAGTGTTTCTAACCTCATGATTCCTGTGCATACACAGCAGAGAATAACAGGGGAGGGTTTCCCCCCTGCCCTTGCTCAGAGAGTTCTCCTCCTGGTTGTTTTCAGTCCTGGCCACATGTAAGTTCAAGGGCTTTGCACTTCACACCAGCTTCCCCTATGTTTTCAGAGTTCCAAACTCAATTCCTGGCACTTAGAAGCATCCTACGCACTGAGGTGGGGATAGTCCTCATCCTACTGAGGTGGGCCTGGGCATCATTTGAATTGTATCATCAAAGGGCAGTCTCTGGGCCTTTAAGCAAAGACCATGTGTGGTGCCCACTTCAACATGTCCCCCTGGCGCTAGTGACAACAGAGTTTGCTCAAAGTGGTGTCTGTAAAATCAACATAAACTGACCTGGCTCCTGTGTCCACAGCTTCCCTGCAGGTCTAGTGCCCTGGTCTCCCAACCTCCTTGCCCTGTCTCCATCATCACACCTCCTCCTGCTCTGCACAGGCAGGAAGCTGTAATCTTTCATTTACTTGGGAGTCTAGAACCATCTATTCTTTTCAATCTATTATTGTGACAAAAATATTTTGATCTTAGTCCTTCTGACACCCCACAAACACTACAGGGCCTCTCTTGAGGATTAAACACTTGGGCTGTTGTCTCTGCCAAGAGGTCTGAAGGGTTTTCTTGAGATGTATGTGTTGGGTATTGCCTCCTTTGTTATTTTGCTCTGGCTGTGGTGGAATTTTCTAGAAACAAGTAAGGAGAAAGGACTTAGCTCCCTTCAGAGTATGAGGAATTGTAAGGGTTTGGAGGGAGTACACAGTAGGCAATGGGATAGTACCAGATCATACCTAAAGGTACAGACTGCGTGGGAGCAAGTGCTGGGTTGGCCACTAAATAGGCAAGTTATTTAATTTATTCATTAGCTAAATGGGCAATTTATTTTACCTCTCTGTGACTTACTTTTCTCATATGCATTAGTTTCTCATTATTTCACTCTAACAAATTACCACACACATGGTGTCTTAAACAACAGAAATTTATTCTCACAGTTCTGGAGGCCAGAAGTCTGAAATCAGTTTCACGGGGCTGAAGTCAAGGTGTTGGCAGGGCCATGTTCCCTCTGGAGCTTGAGGGGAGAACCCTTTCTTATCTCATCCAGCATCTGTTGGTGCCAACGTTCCTGGGCTAGTGGCCACATCACTCCGATCCCTGCCTTCATGGTCACATTGCCTTCTCCTCTTCTTTCTTGTATCGAGTCTCCTTCTGCCTCCCTCTCATAGGATGCATGTGATTGCATTTAGGCCCTCTCAGATAATCCAAGATAATCCTCCCATCCTGTGATTCTTAACTTAATCACATCTGCAAAGTTCTTTATTGCCATAGAAAGTAAAATTCCTAGGTTCCAGGGAGTAGAATTTGCACGTGTTTTGGGAGGGCTATTATTCAGCCTATTATAAATTAGGTTGGTAATAGTATATACATGAAAATTAGAGGATATAATATATGAAAAGTACTTAGAAAGATGTCTACATGCAATAAAGCACTCAATAAATGTTAGCACATGATGGTGATATCAATGATAATGAAACAAGAAACTGCAGACAAAAAGTTTCAAAATGAACAAAATCTTTAAAATGAACATAGGTAGAGGGCCTCATCTCTGGACTCTTGATGTGTGCTAACCTTGGAATGTTCTTATTCAAAAGATTGTATCTCTACACAGTTTAGGCATGTGATACATATAGTCACGTCTGGTTTTGTCTTTGTTAATTTGCACTTGAAATTTAAATCATTTCAACAATTTCAACCATCCTGAGTTCTCCCTAAGGAGAAAATCAAAGATATGATTTGATATGATTGTCACCGTCTGTTCCCTTGTCTCCTGCCCACCCAGGATACAGACCTAATGACATTCAACATTTCTGTACATCGGTCATGGTGGCGGGAACATGGGCCTGGTTGTGTCCGAAGAGTGCTGCCTCCATCAGCCCACGGCATGATGAATGATTACACGTACGTCTCTGTCACAGGCTGCATCGTCGACTTCCAGTACCTGGAGGTCATCCACAGTGCCATCCAAATCCTACTTTCTGTAAGTGTCACATCTGTGTCATTGTCTGATCAGGACCCTCCTTTAGTGACATTTTGTATCTAAACCTTCTGTCCAGAGACATGGAAATAGTATCGATTATGCTAACATCAGTTATACTTAATGGCAGGTGATATCTTTTTCCAATAGGTATCCAGACATGTTGTCTCTAGAACCAGTTAGTTGCTGTCCTTTCTAGCTTGAGATACAATCCACCCATTCAATGAAATAGTATCACTGTTTCCCACCCAATGCCTCAGGCTTTTCTACTTCCCTTCTACTACAGCTTCAACTTCTCATGCATTCTTTTAGTAATGCACATTAGCTCTAGAGAAAGAAGATGGAAACACAACAATCAATGGTTTGTTCAATCTAGTAAATTTCACATTTCAAAAAATCATTCCTTAAGAGAACAAATCCCGGAGTGTGTTACACATTCTGGTGCCTAAAATTTGGGGTCAGGACACAGCTCCACCTAGAGCAACACAGAGGAAATGGCTTGATTGGACCACAGAAGGTTTATGTGCTTGAAACTTCTTAATTTATTTCCACCATGCTATCCCACCCACAGTTTGATCACTGTGGAGTGTAATTAATTTAAGCTATCTACCATCATCAAGAATGCTATTTATTTGAGATCCAGCAAGTACTTGGCATTTTGTTTGAGTCAATACACAATAAAGCCATTCTTAACTATGCTCTTCACATAAACTAACTACCTCAGCCCTATCTAGCTGGTTAAAGTCAGAAAGAGAGCTATAGACTCAATAATAAATTAATAGATGACAGAAATATAGGTGTGTGTCAATGAAAAAATGTACCTTGGAATTATTTTTAAGAAGAACTTTGAGAAATCCCTGATATCATTTACTGTATTTGTACCTTGGAATTATTTTTAAGAACTTTGAGAAATCCCTGATATCATTTACTGTATTTGTTATCTACTGCTGTGTAACAAAACGCTCCAAAATATAATAACTTAGAATAATACCAGTTTATTGCTTAGAGTTCTGTGCATCAGGAATTTGGACAAGGCTCCACTGGGTAGTTCTGTTCCATGTGATACTGGCTAGGATCACTCATGTGAACCTTCCCACCAAAACTCTGCTGTGGTTAGAACATCCAAGAAGAACTCACTCAGATGTCTGGTGCTGGCTGTTGGAAAAAATTGATAGGCTTTCTTATAGCAAGGCACCTGAATTCCAAAAGAAGCCCAATATGCAAGCATTTTCCAGCCTGTACAGGCATACCTCATTTTATTGCACTTCACTTTATTGCAGATTTTGCATTTTACTAACTGAAAATTTGTGGCAACTCTGCATTGAACAAGTCTATTGGCACCATTTTTTAATGTTATGTATATATTTCTATGTATTTTTAATTAACTTTATTGAGGTGACATTGGTTAATATGATCATACAGATTTCAAGATTTCAAGTGTGGGTTCTATGTTACAAGATCTGTACATTGCACTGTGTGCTCACTACCCAAAGTCAAATCTCTTGTCACCATATATTAGATCCCCCTTCACCTCCACCCCTTCCCTCTGGAGACCACAACACTGCTGTTTGTGTCCATGAGTTTCAGTTCTTATATTCCACATATGAGTGAAATTATATGACTCTTAGCTTTTTCTGACTGATTTATTTCACTTAGCATAATATTCTCATCCTTTCTTGTGGCTGAGTAGTATTCCATTGTGTATATGGACCACATCTTCTTTATCCAGTCCTCTATTGCAGGACACTTTGGTTGTTTCCATTTCTTGGCCACCATGAACAATGCTGCAATGAACATAGGTGTGCATATATTTTTGTGAATACATGTTTTTAAGTTTTTCAGGTATATACCCAGGAAAGGTGTATATTTTCCAACAGGCTCAGATTATGGTTAGCATTTTTTTAACAGTAAAATGTATTTAATTAAGGTATGGAAATTGTCTTTTTAGACAGAATTCTATTACACACTTAAGAGATGAAAGTATAGCATAAGCATGAATTTTATAAGTAGTGGGAAACCAAAAAAAAAATGTGACTCGCTTTATTGCAATATTTGCTTTATTATAGTGGTCTGAACCTACCCCCCAATATCTCCAAAGTATGCCTGTACTTGAGTAATGCTTACTACTGTCTATTTGGCTACAAGCTCTCAGATGACTGATATGACTAAGCCCAGAGTCATTTTGGGAGGAACTATGGAAAGTGAGACTATTAGGAAACATGGCTTATTTGGGGCCACTGATGCAGCGATCTCACTTCACTTTATTAATTATTGTTCTTTAACCTGCATATGTCAAATTTTAAGATAGTGTTTTAGAGCACATTTTAATTAGAATGTTTTTTTAAAAACTAATGATTCAATTTTTTTAAAAAAAAATCAAAGATCTTTTAGGGTTTTTGTTCACTGAAAGCCAAATTTAACACTGAATTCAAAGAAGGAGGTTGTACCCAATGCTAAGGAATTTTTATTCAGAGATATAACAAGGAATCTGCTTATTCTTGGTTTCTATGATCATTTTTAAATACACTGTCATTTGTCAATATACGTCTATCAATCTTTCCCTATTCTATGGTCTTTCTTTATTAATCATATATATATATACATATACATACATACATACATACATACATACATGGGTAGGTATGGAAAAATACATGCAAGTTAAAATTATTACAATGGCTTTGTTAACTCAAAATAATGTTACAATTGTAAACCTACTTTTGCCCACCCCTATATGTGTGTGCGGGCGCAGGTGTGTATGTGTGGGGGGGGAGGGGGAGGTGTGTGTGTGTGTGTGTGTGTGTGTGTGTGTGTGTGTATAATATAGTATTTTTTTTAAATGTGGAGGCAAATTTTCTCTTAAAAATTTTATGGTAAAAGAGTACTCTATTATCATATACTAAATTATAAAGGTTCTTATGGAAACATTTTTCTACAATATTTCATAGGTGGAAAGATCCTCCTCCTTTTAAAAATTATTCATATAAAATTGCTAAACCATTTCAAGGAATGATGGCATGATGTCCAAATCTTTAAAATACAGGAGGATACTATGGAATCAAAAAGTCATTTACCCATAGGAACTCCGGTCACTTGAAAAGCAAGGTGAAAGTATTCATTTGATAAGGAGCTGAACTGTCACATAAAAACCTATGCTCGAGAAATACTGAATTCAGTGTATGTTGCCACTAAAAGTGCTTGTCATTTATAAATGAATTCCTCAACGTATTATTTTAGTGAACATTCAAAGCTGACCACCTGAATCCACAGTCAGGACTCTATTGGTCAGCCTTCTGGAAAAAAAAAAAAGATTAGTTGTTGATCTCTGGCTTTTATTGTGTAATATACCTACAAGACAAGATTTCCAATATTATTTTAGATTAAAATGAAATATATCCTGAATATTTCACAACTTTCAAATTATGTATTGTTGTCTTTGATTTTAGATGGGTTTCTTGCACTTTCCACTTATTTCATAGCAATATATTTACAATTATGAGAATTGTGTTTTTTAAATCTTATAGAAAGGAGATACTTCCTGCATAAGTTGTCTAAAACTAATACTAGTGTATGTCATTTGTACACAGCATCTATGGGTTTTAATAACAAAATATGTGAGCATTTAAAATTCATATTCCTCTTATATCATAACATTCTCTTTAATAGTGTGTGTACGATTGGATTTTACTCTGTATGTTAATCATTTACCACAGACATTTATGTCTCCAACCACAAATTCCATACCACTTCCAACAACAGAATTAAGTCTCCCAAGACCCAGACGCTCATAATTATCCCACACGTTTGCAGGTCTTCATAAATTATTACTGACCTACTAGTTTTAAATAATCTGCTAAACATTGACTACTCAACGCAAAAGCGAGCTAAAACATTTGGTGGACTTAAATACAATTTCAACAGAGCACTGTGAAGCTTAGTTAGGAATCATATCTAGAAAATATGAGAAAATTTTAATAATTAATCAAGACAAACATTGTGATTGAAGTCTTATGGAGATATTAGAATCAAGAAAACTAATGTTACTGATGTTTTATTTAGGGTAATTTAATGTCATTCACAGACATTTTATCTTTAGCCCTAGGTATGAATAATTATTAAATTGGAGAAAAGTAGCTTTCATAAGAACAAGAATTAATTTTTAAAATATTTACACTGTCCCTTTAAACAAATTTTGTGTAAATTCCACACACACAAAAATCTTAATGCCATTTTTGTATTCTTTCTAAATGAAAACAGGCAGATTATCATTCATTCAGAAAAACATACTCAGTAAATCCCCACTGTGTACAAGGCACTATGCTAGGAGCTTTGGGGATGAGAGGATGGAATTAAACTGACAAAGTTGAATTAGACATGATCCACCCATGTTATCTGTCAGTCTATGAGGGGAGATCAGACAGCCATCAAAGTGCCATAGGATGGACAGAAAATGGGAGATCCATAATTAAGATTCTAAGTGCCTTCGGAGCTCATGAGAGGAAATAATATTCAGGGAAGCTGAGATATTTAATTTAGGTCCACAGAGTTTACTCTTGGAAGTGAACTTGTCTTTTAGTGGCTCAAACTTTAATATTTCAAGGACATCCCAAATGAGTTACTGGAGGGATTACAGAAGCTTACATTCATGCCAGCACAGCGAGAATCAAGAATTCTGAGAGTTCAAGCAATTACCTCTTTGGGTCCATGAAAACAATATATTAAAGCCTATCACAAGGGGCAAAAATGGAGGCATTCAGCAGAGTGAAAACAAGTAACAGGCTGGTTGTCCTGACAAGAGGGCAGAGAAACTCCTTCTGGATGGAGTTCATAGTCCCAGACAAAAGAGTTGCCTTGGCCCTGGTGTGGTGGCTCAGTTGGTTGGAGCATTGTCTCTGAGTGGGACCAATTGTCTCTGAGTGGGTTCAGATATATTTAGCAGACAAAGACTTCAAAGCACCAATTATAAAAATGTTCAAAATTAAAGGAAATCATGTTCCCATACA